ACAAGCAGGGAGAGTGGGGGAGGGAGAAGCAGGCTTCCTGCTGAGCAGGGAGCCCGATGTGTGGCTCTATCCCAGGACCCTGGGACCGTGACCCGAGCCAAAAGCAGACGCTCAATGACTGAGCCACCCAGGCACCCCGGGGAGGGTTTTAAATACACATAATTCTAGTTCCATCTCTCTCTCTCTCATCATTAAACCATAATGACTATGGGAGAAAATCAAATGCTTTTTGATAAATACCTGAGTTCCCAGGCTCTGGCCACTCCCATACCTCTTTAACCATGGGTATGAATTTCCCCCAGGACCTCAGATTACAGTAAATTAATCTGTTTTGGTGGAGAGAGGAGGGAGGAGTGCCAAGAGCTACTGATCATCCCATGGCTAAATCTAGTTTCAAGAGTGGCCCTGAACAGAAAATGGTTAAGAGAACTGCAGGGACCAAGGTGATGCAGAGAAGGGGATTAGGGAATAAGCACAGCTAGGAAGAAACAATTCAGTCCTAAAATTCTGTGATCCAAGGCCAAATTCCACGAGTGCTTCACAAGACACCAAGCAGTATTTGTAACTGCATGAGGAATCAAAAACCCTATGACCGGGGCTCCTTGTCTCCTGCTGATTTGTTTTGGGTGTGCCCTTTAGATTCCAGTTCTTACTCTCTGCTCAGGGAGTGGAATCTTGGAACATGCTCCTTTTTTTTTTTTTAAAACTTTTTACCCCTCCTTTTCACCCAGGCACAGCCCAGTCCAAAGAGCTGTCCCTGTTGAAACCATCTTATTTGTTTTTCCTGCTGCCTCAAAGTCACACTCTCTGCGGCCCATGGAGAACAACTGTCTTGTCTGAGGCCTCCCTGACAGTGGAAGAGAGGGAATTCAAGTCTCAGGGTGACCAATAAATGGTTCTGCCTCGGTACTTTTGCTTGGGCTGCTGTGTCAGCCTGGACACCTTCTTGAGAGATCTGCCTAGCTACTTGCCTTTGCTTATGTATTACCTTCTTCCCAAGGCCCACCGACCTTATTTAATACCACCCACCTGCCCAATCCTCCTTACCCTACTTTTCTTGTCCTTTTTTTTGTTATACATCTATCTTATAATATACTATGTCATTTACTGACTTACTATGCCTATCTTTTATTGTTGTTTAACTACAATACAAGCTTACTGAGGGCACAGGTATGTCTCAAGTGTATAGAGCAGTACCTGGCATGTAAGATGTGCTCATTAAATACTCACTGAGTGGAGGAACGCTTTCTCAGCAGGATGATGCATTATTTTCTCCGTTACTACTTTCACACCATGTGGGCAGTAGATGCAGATATCATGGTGCGTGGTGTTATGCACAGGTACCATGTCTGCTCCAGGGTCCTCTGAGTTATTCTCAATATTCAGTAAATTCTCCTTAGACACAACAATGAAACAAAGGATAAGGAACTGATCTCTGATAGGCATTGAGGACCAAGGAGAAAAGGTTTGATGCCAATAAGCAAATTTATAAGCAAATGCTTTTAAAATGGGGAGAGGGGGATTTCTGAATCCTGAAGAACTCTCCCTTGGTATGAACCCTCATGAAATCAGGAGGTGGCAGGCCAGCAAACATTGACCACACTCTCATCAACAAGGTCAGTGAAGAATTTACATGCAGGAAGTCATCTATTTTTAATATTGCAATTGCTTTCCTGTTTTCCTTTATTCGGTGTATTACCACAGGAGCCCAGTTCCAAGAGTTTTGTTTGAATGCTTTCCTCTCCTATTTTTCTTTTTTAAATTTGGATGCAGGCTGATATTTCCAGACAGCAAATGTTCTCTCATTATTTAAGGAACACCAGGAGGCTGGATCATCTGTCAGGCTGAACAAAGCTGGATTGATGTAAAGGGTAAGGGTCACAAAGGTAGTGTGATTCTAAGTGGTAAGGCTGAAAGCGAGCTCTTCTGGGGAACAGTGTGAAAGGTTGTACAACAAGCAGAGAAGGGTGGGATGTGGGCTAGGTGAGCCAGCCCAGAGAAGCAGGAGACTCTTTGCCGAGCTGGCAGGACTTGGAGCGAGTCCCTAGTTGTCCAGCTCCCACCCCAGTCCTACCTCACCACACCCCCATAGTGCTGAAGGGAGGCACTCCTTACACACCCAAAGCAGTCCAAGCCCCTCTTTGATGTACTTTTCTGGCCAATTATCTGTTATTCAGCTGACATTTTATAGACTTTGTATTTTTCAAGCACCAAAGCTGCAAAGTTTCACAACTGATTATAATTCATCAATTGACCTTTGTTTGCTTTATCCTTTGGTTCGCCCTTTGCAGAGCACAATTGGCAAAGCCTGGGTGGGAACAGAAGTAGAACCACTCAAGAGATTTCCTGAACACAGATTTTTCATTGTAATGCAATTAATGGTGAGCTATGTCTTGGCCAGGCTAACGCAATTCACTGGGTCCCAAAGTCCTAAGGCTTGTCTTCCCCTCTGTGTGGATGAAGGACTTGGAGTTGGATTGATGGACTGTTGGTCCTTCCCAGCATCTACGCCCTGGTCTTCAGCAGGCCTCCCAGGCCCTGGGTTATGCAGCATTTCAGTGTTGCCACAGCGGCCCCAAGAAAGGCACTTCCCTCTCTGAGAAGTAGCCCTGGACTTCCTGCCCTGACCTTGCAGATGTTTCCATAATTTCTCCTAGAAATCTTGATGATCCAGTGTCCCTGCAAGTTCTAAATTCTTGCCCCCAACCTCTTTCTATGTCTCTTGTTTGGTGTCTCTGAGTCATATTCAGATGTCCAGATTGGGCTCCTTTTTGCTGGTAGCTGGCTCTACCTATTTTTCTGGTGACTTCAGTAGACTTTTAAAGGAAATGGTTTCATAGAGCAGAAAGACTGGATTAAATTCGTTAAAACTGAATAACAGGGCCAGAGAAATGTAAATTAGAATAAGTACAAAATAAAGATGATGGAAACCTAAAAGATCTTACACAGTTACAATAATTGAGCAGTAAATTCACCTCAGAGTTTTCTGATGGCCAAAGCAAAGAAAGAAATAGGGTCATTTACACAGATATTATTATCCACTAGGGAAAAAATACTCTTTCCTCAGGAAGCAAAGCATTTTGCTTTTTAGTTCTGAAGATGTCTCATAGAAGACTTCAGAAAATGAGGGAATGTTTCCATAAAGTTACCTATTTTAGGATATATCCACAAAATGAAATCTTGGGTAGGTTGTAGAATCTCTCTGAATAGCAGTTTACCATGATGTCGATCCATTTTAGGGGATCTATCACCCATGCTTGGGCAAAGCTGAGGTTGACACATTTTTATCAAATGTATCTAAAAATTTCATGTGTGCAGCGCTGGGCTAGTGCTCTGGGAATATAAGATTTAAAAAAGAGAGATGTGGTGTTTGTCCCCTGCATCCATAGCCCAGTGAGAGGGAACACATAAATACACAAGTAATTCTCATACAAAGTAGCTTGTTGTCTTAGTCGGTTTGGGTTGCTAAAACAGAATACCATAGGCTGGGTGGCTTTTACAACAGACATTTATTTCTCACCGCTCTTCAGGTTGGCAAATCCATGTTCAAGACACCAACAGATCCAGTGTCTGGTGAGGACCTTCTTTCTGGTTTGCAGAGCACTGTCTCTTTTTTGTATCCTTACATGTCAGAGAGCAGAGAGAGGAAGCAAACTCTCCTGTCTCTTCTTATAAGGGCACTAATCTCATTCATAGGACTCCAACCTCAGACCTGATCACCTCCCAAAGACCAACCCTCACAATGCCATCACATCAGAGATTAGAATTTCAACATCTGAATTCTGGGGGACACAAATATTCAGTCCATAACACTTGTGTTTAGTGTTGTCTTAAAGTGTAAACAGAGAGCTTTGGCATAAATTCATTTTCAAAAGAAATTTTTTATACCCTTTTGATATAACTATGTCATGAGGCTGGACTCAGACATAAACTACCTCAGAATAAGAGCAGCTATAGACTCCCGGGTTTTCTCTGACTGACTTGATGAGAAATGTGCCAATCCCTAAACCAACCCAACCAGCCAGGGGTGCAGTGCTTTTGGATCTCTGCCACATGCCCATCCTGGTAGCCTGGAATGAGACCAAGAAGGTGCAATTGTCCAAGGGAAGGCTGCGTTCTGTTGCCAAAATAAAGACTGCTGGGAAACTCAAAGCCTCAAATGTCCACTGCCTGGTTTTCCCTTCTTCAGACGTGTCCCCTGTTTACTAGCCAGGACAACTAGTTTCTTCTGAGATCCCTATGACCCAGATGCAGTAGTGTATACCTGAATTTGGGAGAGACATAGTAGACATACATCATTTATTTTTCTTATTATTGGGAGAGAAATAGTTAATTGTAAGGAAGCAACAGTTCTGCCTCCTTTTCTGGCTGAAGCAGATTAATTTATAAAATGTTCCCTATCACCTCACTGTGTTACCAGGGGAGCTTGGTGGAAACCCTCCAGCTCTTGCGCTATTCCTTAAATCCTGTGCCCCTATTAGCCACCAAACCCTGCTTGGGTCATTCGACCCGAGAAGAGCAAGACTGAAAAACACACACACTAAGAGCCTCACCGTGAAAAATTAATCAGCTCTTGATATGAATTATGGCTTAAGACCAAGGAACACACTCATGTATACCCTGGTAGGGGGGACCTTCTTATACTGCACCCAGGGGACTTGGGGCTGCATCTTTAACATACATTCTTTTTCCTCTCCCAACCTCAATTGGGAGTTCACTCTTATTCTGTTTCATACTGCCGGTGTAGGAGGACAGGCAGTTGAACAAAGCTTGTCCAAGGAGATACAATTCTCCACTCAGACCAGAGTACTGTTAGAATATTTGTACCTGTCAGGGGAATGTATGAACAGTGGCATGGGTAATGTGAAATAAAAGATAATATTTAAATATCATTTCTTCTCCAAGCCAATTTTTTATACTGCGTATGCAATATGTCATCACGGCAATGCATGCTTGAGATACGTTAGCCATTGCACATTTATATAGAACAGACTTACTTGTCTAATTCTGTTGAGCTAGAAATCATTTTTCCCTCATCTCCAAAAACTCATTGGAAAATTTCCCCTGAGATGTCCCTTTTTAACCTCAAATTCAATATGTCAAGAAGATTTCTGTATGACCCAAACCTCAGAATTATCTGTTATTTTCATTTCCTTTTCTCTATCAAATTATCTATCAGTCTGCTTGTTTATCAACCTGTCTTCCCCTAAGTAAATATCTACTGAGCTCCTTCTATTCCACCGGCACTGTGCAAGGCTCTGGGTATATGAGGAGGGGGCAGAGCAGATATGGTCCCTGCCTCCTGGTGGCTGCTGGCTGACAGAGGAGACAGATGTTACTTAAGTCGTCATAGACACAAATAAGGAGTCCCAACCAGGACAGGTGCCAAAAGGAGAAATAAGCTCATTTGTTGCCTTTTCATGATTACTCCTGAGTTTATCTATTCCTTATTTTCCTTTCCCACAGCCACATTTATCCTCTCACAGCTAACTCTCTGCAAGAGACCTGCTCTTCTCTACCTCTCTTCTCTCCCTCTCAGCACAATCTGAATACTCATCCTTGTCAACAGCCTCAGGCTGGCTGCCTCATTCTTTGAATTGCCTTTCTTATCTGACCCACTCCCCAGTTACCTATCCCAATTCTACTACTCTTTAAGACCCAACAGCAGGTCAGTCCCCTCAGCCTCCTCTGCCTCTGCCAGAGCTCCGGTGCCACCTTGGGCCAGCGGTCCTCCGTCAGAGGGAGCGAGGCAGCGGGCGGCCGGCTGACGGGGGTGGCGGGGCCACCGGAGGTCCTGTGCCCTCGGGGGCGGCATCTCCATGTGGCTGGCCCGCGGCACACGTGCGCACTAAGGTGGACTGGCAAATTCTGTTTATCAGAACATTTCCACTGCTACATCGAGGGCACACGCATCTTCAGCGGGAGTTGGAATTCCAAGAATTGCCTTTGTGAGAAACTGGCAATAATTTCTTTAAATTCCATCTCTTAGTTTTCCATTTTGTTACGTTTTGGAGGAACTTCAAAAAACCATGAACAACTTTAGTAATGCAGATTTAGACTGCCATTTCCTCGATGAAGGCTTTACTGCCAAGGATATTCTGGACCAAAAAATTAATGAAGTTCTGTCTTCTGATGATAAGGATGCCTTCTATGTCGCCTACCTGGGAGACATTTTAAAGAAACATCTGAAATGGTAAAAACTCTTCCTCGGGTCACCCCCTTTTATGCAGTCAAATGCGATGATAGCAGAACCATAGTGAAGACCCTTGCTACCATTGGGACAGGATTTGACTGTGCCAGCAAGACCGAGATACAATTGGTACAAAGTCTTGGGGTGCCTCCAGAGAGGATTATCTGTGCAAATCCTTGTAAACAAATGTCTCAGATTAAGTATGCTGCCAGTAATGGAGTCCAGATGATGACTTTCGATAGTGAAGTTGAATTGATGAAAGTTGCCAGGGCGCATCCAAAGGCAAAGTTGGTTTTGCGGATTGCCACCAATGGTTCCAAAGCAGTCTGTCGCCTCAGTGTTAAATTTGGTGCCATACTCAAAATCAGCAGGCTTCTTTTGGAATGGGCAGGAGAGCTAAATATTGATGTCATTGCTGTCAGCTTCCACGTGGGAAGTGGCTGCACCCATCCTGAGACCTTTGTGCAAGCTATCTCTGATGCCCGCTGTGTCTTTGACATGGGAGCTGAGGTTGGTTTCAACATGTATCTGCTTGACATCAGTGGTGGCTTTCCTGGATCTGAGGATGTAAAGCTTAAATTTGAAGAGATCACCAGTGTGATCAACCCAGCCCTGGACAAGTACTTCCCAGCCGACTCGGGGGTGCAAATCATAGTAGAGCCCGGCAGATACTATGTTGCCTCAGCCTTCACGCTCACAGTTAACATCATTGCCAAAAAACTCATATTAAAGGAACAGACAGGCTCTGATGATGAAGATGAGTCAAGTGAACAAACCTTTATGTGTTACGTGAACGATGGAGTGTATGGATCGTTTAATTGCATCCTCTATGATCATGCCCACATGAAGCCCCTTCTGCAGAATAGACACAAACCAGATGAGAAGTACCATTCAACCAGCATATAGGGACCAACGTGTGATGGCCTGGATCACATTGTCCAGGGCTGCGACTTGCCCGAGATGCACGTGGGCGATTGGATGGTCTTTGAAAACATGGGTGCTTACATGGTTGCTGCTGCTTCTACTTTCAATGGGTTCCAGAGGCCGACTATCTACTATGTGATGTCGGGGCCAACATGGCAACTGATGCAGCAGATCCAGAACCACGACTTCCCGGCCGAAGTGGCGGAGCAGGACGTCAGCACCCTGCCTGTGTCCTGTGCCTGGGAGAGCTGGCTGAAGCGCCCCCTGGCCGCCTGTGCCTCCACCAGCATCAACGTGTAGGTGCCACTCCTGTGGCTGTTACTTTTGAATTTAGCTTGAATTGGGGGACTTGGAGGGACCGTTTAACTTAATTCTTGCTAGTTTTGAAATGTCTGTAAGTAGGGTTGGCACGGATGCAACAGTATGGAAAACTAGGAGATGGGGTCACTTATCTGTGTTCCTATGGAAACTATTTGAATATTTGTTTTATATGGATTTTTATTCACTTTTCAAACATGCTACTAAGGCGTGCCCCTCCACTGCTGAGCAAGCGTTTGTCGCTTGAACACTGGCAGAGCGGGCCGGAAGCTTAGAGTTGTGACCTGTTTTAAAAATAAAGAATCTTGAAATTAAAAAAAAAAAAAAAAGATCCAATAGCAGTGCAACCCATTCTTTGAGTCTGTCCTGTTATCTCCAGCCAGAACTGATCTCCTACCTCTCCCCACAGGTGACACTCTGTCCAAATCACTTTGGTGGCATATCTTACATACTGTGGTCATTTGTGTGCCTCTTTGCTCCTGTCAGTTTGTAAGTGCAAGGAGGTCAAGGACTCAGTGTAGTGGTCGTGCGTTATTGTTTTGGGTGTACCAGTATCTGAAGTCCCTTTCCATATTTTGAGAATTGAGTCTTTGTTGAAGACCCATCCCACCTTCTACTATAGAAGTTCCCAGACAATCATGTTTCCAGCTTTCTTTATAGTTAAGATGTGTACATGTGACTTATATTCTTCCAAAAAGATGCCCCAAATGAGGCCTTGAATGGAAAGCTGATGCAAGGCAGCAAGAACAGCAAAGATTCTCTTTGCTAGAGGTGACAGAGCCGCAGGACAAAGCCCCCAGGATAGCAGTGGTCATGCTGCTGATGGCATCTTTTAATGCCCATGATACTGAAGTCAGTGTGACAGTTCCTCACCAGACTGGGTCTGTGATGTGACTTTAGGCTTTGTCCCTGTTGGCATAGCCATATCTCTCTAGGATTCTGTGAGCTATTCAATATTCTTTAATGAATCCCTTTCTTTTCAACACAGTCAGAGTCTGTTTCAGCCTCCAAAGACACTAACACAGAGCCTCCATTACTGCAGAAAATTTGTAAGTATTTGTTACATGGATAAATGAATAAATCTGTTGTTGCTAGCGTAATAGCCTAAGATTATGTTTCTGCATCCATAAACAGACTAGTAATTCCTACTCCAAATGGATGTTGTAAGGATTGAATGAGATAATGTATGCAGAGCAACTGGTACTTAGTAGGTAAGCAGTAAAGAGTAGTTATTATTGGTAGAAATATGAATCTGGTGATGGTGATAACAATAAATCAATGAATAACCCCTTTCTTGCTTAGGAGGAGAGAGTTTGAGTAGATTCTCTCTGTAGGATACATGTCCTAGACTTATTTTTTTTAAAGATTTATTTATTTGAGAGAGAGAGAGAAAGAGAGAAAGAGAGAAAGAGCAAGCACGAGTGGGAGGGGCAGAGGGAGAGGGAGAGAAAATATCCAGGAGAGTCCAAGCTGAGTGGGGAGCCTGATATAGGGCTCAATCTCAGGACCCTGAGCTAATGGGTCAGAGCTGAAACCAAGAGTCGGACGCTTAACCAACTGTGCCACCTGGGCACCCCATATGTCCTAGACTTCTAAACTTGCTTCATTTATTCCATATTTAAATACTGGTTGTCTTTCTGTTCCATGAAATGTGCAGGTTGTAGGCATGGACTTCTCACCTAGCTGGACTGGTGAATGCAGCTCTATGTGCACAATGCACCTGAGATTAAAGTAGGTGATTCTTTTGTTGTTGTTGTTAGCGTTTTTAAAATTTTATTTAAAATCAATTAATTAACATTGAGTGTATTATTAGTTTGAGAGGTAGAGTTTAGTGATTCATCAGTTGCATATAACACCCAGTGCTCATTACATCAAGTGCCCTTCTTAATGCCCATCACCCAATTAACACATCCCCCCACCCACCTCCCCTCCAGCAACCCTCAGTTTGTTTCCTATAGTTAAGAGTTTCTTATAGTTTGTCTCTCTCTCTGGCTCCATCTTATTTATTTTTCCTTCCTTTCCTCTATGTTCATCTGTTTTGTTTCTTAAATTCCACATATAAGTGAAATCATATGATAATTGTCTTTCTCTGACTACTTATTTCACTTAGCATAATGTCCTCTAGTTCCATCCATGTCGTTGCAAATGGTAAGATTTCATTTTTTAGATGGCTCGGTAATATTCCATTTTATATATATCTATATATCTATATATCTATATATAGATATATATATATATATCACCTTTTCTTTATCCATTCATCTGTTGATGGACATCTGGGCTCTTTCCATAGTTTGGTTATTGTGGACATTGCTGCTATAAACATTGGGGTGCAGGTGCCCTTCAAATCACTATGTTTGTATCCTTTGGATAAATACCTAGTAGTGTAATTGCTGGCTCATAGGGTAGCTCTATTTTTAGCTTTCTGAGGAACCTCCATACTGTTTTCCAGAGTGGCTGCACCAGTTTGCATTCCCACCAACAGTGTAAGAGGGTTTCCCTTTCTCCACATCCTCGCCAACATCTGTCGTTTCCTGACTTGTTAATTTTAGCCATTCTGACTGGTGTGAGGTAGTATCTCATTGAGGTTTTGATTCGTATTTCCCTAATGCTGAGTGATGTTGAGCACTTTTTCATGTGTCTGTTGGCCATTTGTATGTCTTGTATGTCTTCTTTGAAGAAATGTCTGTTAATGTCTTCTGCCTGTTTTTTGACTGGATTATTTGTTTTTTGGGTGTTGAGTTTCATAAGTCCTTTTTATATTTTGGATACTAGCCCTTTACCTGATACGACATTTGCAAATATCTTCTCCTCTGTAGGTTGTCTTTTAGTTTCGTTGACTGTTTCCTTTGCTGTGCAAATGCTTTTTGTCTTGATGAAGTCCCAATAGTTCATTTTTGCTTTTGTTTCTCTTGCCTTTGAAGACGTGTCTAGCAAGAAGTTGCTGCAGCTGAGGTCAAAGTGGTTGTTGCCTGTGTTCTCCTCTAGGATTTTGATGGACTCCTGTCTCACATTTAGGTCTTTCATCCATTTCGAATTTATTATTGTGTATGGTGTAAGAAAATGGTCCAGTCTCATTCTTCTGCATGTGGCTGTCCAATTTTCCCAACGTCATTTGTTGAAGAGATTTTTTTTCATTGGACATCTTTCCTGCTTTGTCAAAGATGCGTTGACCATAGAGTTGAGGGTCCATTTCTGGGCTCTCTCTTCTGTTCCATTGATCTATGTGTCTGTTTTTGTGCCAGTACCATACTGTCTTGATGATGACAGCTTTGTAATAGAGCTTGAAGTCCAGAATTGTGATGCCTCCTAAAGCAGGTGATTCTTTTGACATTTTACCACCTTGAGAGCCTCAGAAAAAGCCTCAGGAGTCCATGTCAGGAAAACCAAGGTTAAAAAACAAACAGTTGGCACCAAATCTTGAGCTAAAACAAAAGGTTTTTCAAAGAACCAGAGTGCCCCTTGCAGGACAATGGAGGAACTCGAAGGGTGAGAGAATGGTCAGAAAGGCGACCATGTAACTGCAAGGAAGAGAGAGCCAGTTCAAGCAAACAGCAAGTTAAGAACAGCTTCCAGCTGACCAGACAGCGAGGAAGCAGAAGCAGATGGCAACCTGGCTCTGAAACCAGTTGCTGAAAACAAAAAAACAGTGTTAAAACTGTGTGACAATGCAACACGGTTGGTCAAAGTTCCTTTATATCTCTACCAAACAGATGATTATAACATTCTCATACCTAGGGCGAGCATTTTTGATATTTTGTTCACACAGAATTTTTTTTTTACATCAAGTTTGGCTTTTAAAAAATATTGCATTAAAGAATTATTTATCTTGATTGCTGAATTGCAGGGAGGAAGGGACTTAAATTTTTCTCCTCACTGTCCTCACCTTGGTCCCAGCCTTGCTCATACCAAACTGAAGGGCAAACACTCACACATATGACCCCATTCACTTCTCATAGCAGTCCAAGATGTAGTGATCACTAGCTTCATCTTACAGTGAAATAGACTGAGCTACAGAAAGATTAAACGTCTTGCCAAACTTTTAAATTGAAAATTTGAACTTGTTCAAGTTGAATTTGAACACAAGCTACATTCTTTCCACCAAAACATAACTGCACTCTAGGACAATAATACAAAAGACAGCATAAGGAATCTAGTAATAATGAATTGAAATATATGAATAAAATTCATTATAAGAAGTATTCTAATTGAAATTGCAATTACAGGATGCTCAAAGCACTATGCCTGGAGGGTTCAAGCAATTATTTTCTAAGGAACACTTGACACACACCTGTCAAAAATTATGCTGAATCACATGCTTTCATGATATTCTCAGCTCTAAACAACCATCTTTCTCAACACATTCTTTAAGCCATTGGCTGGGTTTGGCATGCAAGCCAGTTCGGTGTCTTGAAACCCTACTTGTGCTCTCCTAGTCCATCATAGCAACCTGCTTTAAGTATTCATTTCTTCTTTAGTTAAAACCAGGAATTGGTTTCCCTTGGATACACACCACCAAAGCCATTTTTAATTAAATTTCTGAGAAACTTGGCAGAATGAAGGAAAAAACATTTGACTAGGCAGGCAGGCTTCATGAGAATGATATCCATAAGTTCTGCAGAAAAATTATTTTCATTATTTTATAATTACAGTTGACCTTCGAACAACACGGGTTTGAACTGCACAGGTCCACTTATCTGCAGATTATTTTCAATAAATACAGTATAGTACTGGAAACGTATTTTCCCTTCCTTATGTTTTTTTTTTTTTTTATAACATTTTCTTTTCTCTAGCTTACTTTATTGTGAGAATACAGGATATAACACATACGACAAGCTAAATATGTTGATTGGCTGTTATCAGTAAGTCTTCCAGTCAACAGTAGGCTATTAGGAGTTACGTTTTTGGGCAGTCCAAAGTTATATGTGGATTTTTGACTGCATGGGGAGGTCAGTGCCCCAAACCTCTGCATCATTCAAGGGTCAACTGTATAGTTTATTCTTGTTTGCATACTTATCTACAGAGAGCTCTCTGGAGCATATAGGTAATAACCTGCAAAAACTCCAGGCAGCTGGACTTTGGCCAGAGGTGGAAACACTTGTAGGGAGCCCATGCATCTCAGACTTCAGCACTAAGGGTATTCAGGAAAAACAAAGTTCTCTTTCCAGGCCTTTCTCTGCAGTTTAAAAGTTGCAGCATTTTATTAGGGAGAGTAGTGGATAAATATGCCATGAAAGACACCAGAAAAAGGACTTATCAACTCTTTCATGCATGTGCTTTCAGCCTGGGTTTTAGTGATAGTAAGAGAATTC